TTCTGTGTTTTATGTTACATGCTCAACTCTCATCAACTCATAGCAAACTTTGGTTTTGCTCTTGTTAGCATCTGCTAATTTATCTGTAGTGCCTCATGGACATAAAAAGCATCTTTCTTTACTAATTTCTTTCTTGCCACAGGAAAGATATAAAAATATAGAATTTAAAGAATGAGTCTGGGTGTAATGTAGGCTTATTCTGTAATGTCCATGGGCCTCAGTCAGAATGCTCTCCAGTTCCATCATGGAGCAGAGGCCAGGCAGGGGCTGTATAGTAGACCAGCGATGGAAACATAAAGCATTAATAAAAAATTGTAATTTCTAAGTTCAAAGAAATACCACATTAAATATAGGTACTTCAGAAAACCAAATGCCATAGCTGGGAATCATTGACTATGTGCCCATTAATATTAGTAAAACTGGCTAACCTTCCTACTGTGCTTATAAGTATCTAAAGCACGTTCACCTTAGTTCCTTTAATCCTACAATTCTGTAAGGTAGGTGTTGCTCATAGGCCTGCTTTAAATGGAAAGAATAAAAAAGAAACTAAGTATAATAGTTGGCCCAGTATCCCCTCAGTTAGTGAATGTTAGAGCTGACACTTGAATCCAGCACCTGTGACTTCAAACATAGGCTGCCCCCCACTGCATCTAGAAAAGAATATTTGTCCAGTCATTACCCCAAAACCTCGTGACCTTATTTGTTTTGGTTTGGTTTGGGGGTGTTTTGGGTACCAGTTGGGTTACTTTTTAATAGTGGAATGGTTTTTTTTGCTTTTAAGTCTCTGTCATCTACACCCTAAGTACTTTCCAAGTAAATAAATAGTTCCCTAAACTTTCTTGAGCCAGGTATAAAACATGTTTTTCCCCCTCTGGAGTGAAAACCCACCCTCTCTACAGGAGAAGCAAGGCTTGTGTTTGGCCCTTACCCCCTTTTGCCACAGTTCCATGTAATCTTTAAATAATCTCCGCACCCCCCACCCCAAGCAGGTCTGTCACTTTTTCAGGAGCTGTCAACACATCCTCAAAAACTGTCAGCATCCCTCAAACCTCTTTAACTGACTCTCCTGAAGAAAACAAGCTTGCTTTAACTTCAGCCCATTCAGCAAAATCACTCTGGAAGTCCTGCCAGCCCCATGGTCCCTGTCTCCAAAATAAACCCCCTCTTCCGCAGACCTGCCTCCCCATGTCCATAGTTTTGAATTTCTGCAACTCCTGTCCTTGGACTTGTGCCCCTGGAGTTGTTAATCAGAATCCCCAGCCCCAAACCCACTGCTGCCACCGATGAGCAGTCTCTCCATCCTTTCCGGAAACAGATCTTGGCAGGACCGCACCAACTCTTGTTATTTCTTCCCTGTTTTCCTTTCCGCCTTCCCTTCTAGAAATTTTCCCCAAATCTGCATTCTCCTGGGCCCTTTCCCTGCTGTAGCCCAGTCTGCAGGGCACAGCTGGAGTGTCCTCTCTGACTGAAGCTGGAAGGGAAATTCAAGCCTGGGCAGATCTGAAACTCTGCAGGCAGGTCTGCTGCCTGTCGAGGGAGGGCGGTGACGTAGCAGACCCCGTCCTGGGCACTCTCGTTCTCATTGCTCTGACCCTTTTCCCTTTTGTTCCTCGGGTTTTGCCCAACTAGGATCCACTGCCACCATCTCATAGGCTACCTGAGTTAGTGATTTAGCAATTCCTGCAGCTCCCAGCTCTCCTCCTCCTCACGATCAGACCAGGTTCGCTCCTGCCTGGCATGTGCCACTTGTTCACCCTGGTGAGCTTGCCCCTGAGGACCCATGGACAGAAGGAGAGAGGGGTAGCGGTGCGTCAAATCCTCTTCATAGAGATCATGGAAGCCCATTAGGTTGTGACTGTAGGATGTCCTGAGGTCCGAGGACCTGTGGTCTAGCCCTGGCACTGCTACTGGCTAGCTGGGCGACCCTGAGCAACTCACCTGACCTTTCTGGTTCTTGGGTTTTTTCATCTATAGAATAAGGGAAACGGGATCAATAACCTTTAAAGACCTTTGGTTTATTAGCTGTCACATTATGTAGTGGAACCACCTGGCTAGAAGATGGTCTGCTCAGGTCTTGCCTCATGACAGCCGGCTCTGAAATAATAGTTATGCACGTGTCTTCATCTCCTCATTTTGGAGTATAAGAAAAATCTTCTTGTGTCTTGGTTTTAGAATTTCTCCAATGATATATTGATGCTGAATTTAGGACACCAGTTATAAAACCCTATGCTGCCGTTTCTGACAATTTCTACCTCCCAAAGTCCACTCATACCGTACAGTTTCTAGAGATGAAGGGATGTGTTATTAGGTTGGGCAGGTGCAGGGAACGGTGTCCGGAACTGCCAGTGGAGACGAGCCCCTGGCTATGCCTGCTCTGGGCTAAAGGAGCTTGGAGAAATCCAGTGCCAATATTCTGAAATCTAAGTGTTAGTGTTCTTCTGGGGTGGTGGTGGGGGGGGTATCACATGATCAAAAGAATTTGGGAAACTGAATATTAGCTCCTTCTTGGAGATTTACCATGTGCGTTAGCATATTTAAAGCTCCAAGAAATCCTGCCAATGAAGAGCTCTTAATTTATCCCAGCATTTCCTGAACTAATATGGCCCCAGATACTTTTTTCACAAAATACTTAACATCTGGTAGAACATGACCCAGAACACAAGTTTGGGCAACATTATCACAAAACACTGCTGACCTCACTCTACCTGGGATTTTTATCGAGCACCTACTGTATGTAGAACACATGGGAATAATTCAAAAATTGGCAGATCAAGTGTCTGCCAGCCCAGATTTCACCACCTAAAGCTTCAAAGGGGTAGACATACATGAATAAACATGCCAGTCAACAAACAAGACAAATGAAGTGTCAAGTAACACGGCTTGGAAGTGCTGGAGCTGAGCCACTGGGCAGTTGTGCAAGTTCCCAAATTGAATTTCCATGCTCTCAGCTGTCAGTCTCAAGTCTCTGCTCCGCTCCACCAGGGCACTGACGTGATGTCATCACAAGACACTCCTTGTTTATTTTTATAGATTAGGTAGTTGGTGAGGCAAACCAAGGAATTTCATCCTGTGCTGAGCATCCTAGGATTGTTGCCTTACATGTACAGCTGTGTTGGTTTTTATTCGAAATTGGGATCTGTTCTTTTCCTAGAAAAGATGACCTCCTTTTCACAAAGTGAGAAAGGTGTTGAAATGGCCACTGTCGCATGCTGCTGTTTAATCCCACCCGGAATCAAATGCGACTGCAGCCTGGTGGACCTGATGTTTCCTGGACAAAGGGCTCTGGGTCCTGTGGGCGACTGTCCTGCTAGAAGCTATGGTGACTCACTGCTAGTTTTCCAAGCACTTCCCCTCCCACCAAACCATATCTATGTGCCCCCGCTTCCTCAGACAGCCCTCACCCAGGTCCTTCTTCATCTCTGCTTTCCCACTGCTTCCTGCCAACTTTCCTTAGACTTTCTATTGATATGGGGTTTTCTTCTGAATTTTTTCCTTGCTCCTTTTCCACTTTCCCTCTGCCTCTCCATTTCTGACATATTTGAAAGAAATGAAGACTCATTCTTTCTGAGGGTTGAATCCTTGGGAAGTCCCTCTCTGCTAAACAGAGGAGAGAAGCTGGCACTGTAATGAAAAGGCCGACACTGTTTCTACAAAGACTACCTCTTGAAGGAGCTGCTTATTGTTATTTTTTTAATTATTAGCTGACATTTACTGAGTATGAACTCTGCTCCAAGCCCTGAAGCCCTTTACATGTATTGTCTCTTTTATTAGTCACCACACCCTTTATGATACAAAATATTTATTATTCCCTTTTTAGGAGTGAGTAATTGAGTCTCAGGGAAGGTAAAAAACTTGCTGAAGTGAAATAAGTCAGTCGGAGAAAGACAAATACCATATGATTTCACTTATATGTGGAATCTAAAGAACTGAATGAACGAGCAAAGTAAACAGAAATGGACTCAGAGATATAGAGGAACAACTGATGGCTGCTAGTTGGGAGGGGTTGGGGATGAGGGAGAAGGGGAAGGGATTAGACAGCATAAATACATAACTACAGTATTGCCTCAGGGATATGAAAGACAGTTCGGGGAATATAATTAATAATGTTGTAAATATTTTATAGGGTGTCAGGTGGTCACATGTCTTGCTAGGGAGACCGCATCATGGATGGGGTAGAGGCTTGATCACTGCACTGTACACCTGAAGCTGATGTTGTATAGTATTGTATGTTAACTATAAGTGAATATATATATATATA